CTACATGAGGTTTTCTTTTTTCTTTTTTTAATAATTTGAAATTTTGCAGAGATCGTTTTGCTTTGAATCACTAAACATTTATGTCAGTCGTTACTAGTATTTGAAGTGTTTAAAGTTAAACATAAATATCTTATTGAAAAAATAGTGTCGTCGTACTTTCGAAACTAAAGTAAAATTCTTCAAATTTGAAAGAATGTTTAAATAAGTAAAAATTTTACAAAAATAAAAAAATATTGTAAATAAACGTATTTACAATATGTTCAAATAAACCTTCATTAGCAGCAGAATAATAACTCAAACTGTCACTAAAGAATTATAAAAGTCTGATAGATCAGGGCTGAAGGCACGATGTACTCATGCAGGCGGTTAGGGTTCAAATCCTACAAAAAGTTTTTACTTTTTTAAAAATTTGAAATTATGCAGATATTATATCGTTTTGCTTTAAATCATAAAACATTTATTTCAGTCTTTATTAGAAGTGTTTATAGTAAAACATGAAAATCTTATTGAAAAGACAATGTACTTTCTAAAATAAAGTAAAAATTCTTCAAACATAAAAGAACGTTCTAAATAAATGTACTTACAAAAAATGTTTAAATAAGCAGAAATTCTATAAAAATATTCTAAATAAACGTATTTTATTCTAATGAAATGTATTTACAAAAAATGTTCAAATAAGCCTCCATTAGCAGCAGAACAATAACCCAATCTATTATAAAAGTTTCGTCTAACATTAGTTAATGTTTCTGGACTAATACCTCTCATTGAATTAAATATCTTTTCTCTTAATTCTTGGAGAGAATTAGGCCTATTGTCTTCAATTCCATATAGTTTGGACTTGATATATCCCCACATAAAAAAATCACAAAGTGCAAGATCAGGTGATCTTGCAGGCCAAAAAATATCTCCGTGTCCACTAATTAATCGATTAGGAAAAGTCGCACTGAGATATTCACTGACGATGCGAGAATTATGTGCAGGACAACCATCGTGTTGAAACCATATGGAATCGAAAGGAATTGGTAAATTACGAAGGGCTGGGACAATTTGATTTTGCAGAAGTTCCAAGTATTTCCGCCCAGTCAATATATCGTCTATAAAAAATGGACCAATGACATGATTCCCTATTATGCCTCCCCAAACATTTACTTTTTGAGGACGCTGGGTACGAGCAACATAAATCTGACTAGGATTTCCTCGGGACCAATACCGAGCATTCATTGAATTGTGACGGCCATGCAATGAAAACGTACATTCATTGGTGAACAAGACGTTCTCTAAAAAATGTTCATCTTGATGTGACATTTCCATTGCAGTTTGACAAAATTCTAAACGTCTATATTGATCCCCAGGGAATTGTTCGTTGGATTTATGAAGTTTATAGGCTCGGTATCCATGCCTTTTCAAAATTTTACCAACTCTAAATCTTGAAATTCTATATTGTTCTCCGAGACGAGATGTTGATTGGGTAGGATTTTGCTCAATACTTGCACAAATCAAAGTGTCTCTTAGTTCCAAATCTGGATTTACCTCCCTTCGCCTACGAACTCCTCTTGGAGCGAACACGGATCCATAAGTAAAAAAATTACGTATAATAGATTGAATTGTTGATCGTGATGGAGCCGGCCTATTTGGAAACATATTTACAAATTGTTGTCTAATCATGTTGTCTGAGAATCCATTCACATGCCAGACAACAATTTGCACTTTTTCCTCGACCGTTAAAACCATTTTCACGAATTGTTTTTTCAATAAAAAGTTTCTGTTTACCGTGCAAAAACACTTCTCGATATGTTATTATTTGATGGCTTAAAGGTCAATTGTTTTGAAAATCATTATCTGTACAGAGGAATTGATATTAACATTGAGAATTTAGTGATGGATTTGATATAAACAGTCTTCACCGGATTATTTTGCATTCACAACTGAAGACTGTATGAATTGAATTTGAATCATTTTGTATTTCCGTTTTATAACATTGGAATAAAAATAAATTGTAAATAATGAGTTTTTCGAAAATTTGTTACCTAATATGTATCATATTTTCTATTATTTTTTTATTGATAAAACAAAAACTTTATCCTTGGTGTGGAATTGAACCCCAATTTTCTCGTCAATAGACAACGTCCCTAACCACTACACCAATTTCACATATATTAAGTGTTTCCAGACAAAACATACCCACCTTTATTTTAGTCAAATATTTCAGTTGAGTTATTTTTACTATTAAGTAAATTTAAAGATTTATAATTTAAAATCGCTACTAATGAATGGTTTTTACTATAACATATCTTCATTTATTTAAGTATTTATTCTAACATCAGAAATTATTAAAATAAAATCTTTTTGAGGGTATTCGTATAATTATGACTGAAGTCAAATAGCCACGTCTAACGTCTAAAGGTGTGAGACTGTCGATGGTGGTAATGCAATGTAATGTAAATTATAGGTTTCTATCGATTATTTCCCACCTCTACGAGTTTCATCTCCTTTTATTTCACAAGGTAACTGTGTTTTCTATCTCTTACGTTAAAAAGCCGGTTGATATCGCACTCACCACTGTATATAACATAATACACATATATGTATAAATATTATTAGACTTCGCGTAGTAAAATTACAATCTTTTATATAAAGAGTTCTTTAGATGCTAAAAGAAGCAAAAAGCTATTAAATGGATTTTCAAGAGTACAAGAGAAGCGTCAACAAAACTTTTGATATAAATCTTTTAAAAAAAATTCGCAAAAATAGTCTTTTCGTTAGCTTTACACCAAGAACGTTGCGGGTTTTATGTTATATATAGGAGAGAGTTTTATTGGATATAATGTATAGTATATAGTATATATAATATAATCTACATTAAAAAATTCTCCTTATTTAGTTAAGTGGTAGCAAATATTCCAAAATTATTTTTCTTCCTTTGGACAGATCTGTATCTAAAAATATATTTTATGAAAACCAAAGGCGTAACTGTTTTTATGATTTGAATAACCAAGAATTAATACTTAATTAGTACCTTAACAAAAGGCACAAACATTGGATATGATATAAGTAAGTAATGAAAAAGGCATAGGTTCTAATTATCACTGAATAAGTGCAGTAATCAACGTTTTTTTAGTTAGAAAAAAAAACTAAGCCAAAAACGCTTATTTGTCGTACTCAGTCATAAAATAGAAGTTTTTTTGTTTTAATACCATAGGTACATCTAAGGCTACTTTATTGATCATTATTCGTGTTTTAGTGGACAATACATTATCTGCAAGTGTATTTTTTTGTACATCTTAACTGTATCAGATTTTTTAGCTCAAGAAGGTTTAGCTTGAGATAGTATATTTGTAACATTTTTGTATAAATAGCAAGTATATTATTTTACGTAGACCCGCCCTGGCAAGGTATTGTTAAATTGTACTGATATTGTACCCCTAGTTTTTAATAAAAACAAGGGGTTTTATTAATTTTTTTTAATTAAAGTGCTTATCTAGTATCTAATACTACTACGTAAGTTATCTATACATAATTATTATTTTATTATTGTGAAAATAATACGTCAAATAATAAATATATACTAACTATACAATCATTTTGTAAGGTTACCTGCAATAAGTAGCTTATAGTAGCATGCGGTTGGTTTGTCACATACCAGAGTCGGAGTAAGGCCTTCACCGCCGCAGCTTAAAATGACTTCACACAATGTAAACACACCTTCCGATTTAACCAGTCCAGTAAATCAACGTTCGAATATCACAAACAGTTGTGCTTAAGCCGCTTTACATTCTTTTTCGAGTAAGACCCAAGCAATTATATTTAGTTGTATCGATAATGCTAAACTGCAGGATTATCTTATTCCTTTGGGTACAATTATCAACCCAAATAATATTATTTTTTCACCTAGATTATCTCATAATGGAATCTGCATGTATTTGGTAAACAAATCTATAGTATGGCACAACATGGCTTTATAGAAGTACTCGGCAAAGTTGTAACAGCACGAAGACTTGTGTTTCCAGCAGAAAGACTAGTCTTATCTGGAGTCTGCTCGTCAATTCTTTATTAAGTATTAGTTGAAGAATTACAGAAGATCGGTTTAAAGCTTATTTCCCTAATAACATTTCTGAAATTTAGCTGGACTCTCTTCGGGTCTATATTCCTGAATATAGTCACATATTGAGCTTTCGGAGGCAAGTTTATATAAGCCCTATAATATCACAATTCTAAATTCTATTTTAATAAATTTTGACCAAACACCTTACCGCATATGTATGTCACAAGGTACACTCACCTGCTTTATTTTCAAAAGTACAGGACACATCGACTGCTTACCGCCAATACCTCCTATCTAACAATTTTGTCGAAAATGAGGTTTTTACGCCATCTACTAATGTATAGCGAAATGTATTATGTGCCAATGACTCGTATCTGTACGTAATCTGTAATGTGAGAAACTCTTTGTATGACAATACCTTCTAAATGTATCCATAATTTTCAAAGAAGCAACAACTTCTATCTTCCGTATAACCTATACTAATATTGTGACAGACACGTGTTGCTCCAAACAAATCCAAAACAAAATGTAAGTTTTATTGTATATTTTAGCATGTTTATTGTAAATAGTATTTATTATAAATAGTTTACTAATAACTCGCGTTAAAATGTATGGTTTTATGATGCCATACTATTTTTTTAGTCATGTTTTCTAGATAGGAGGTATTGGTATTCTTGTAAATGTAAAGTAAATTAACTTTTGTATAATAGGGCATATTTAAGATAGGAGGTATTTCCGTGTTTAACAGTTCTTTGGCTAATTAAAAGTAATAGTATTTTGACTGTCATGACGATATGATTATGATGTTAATCTTTTACATTTGTAATGAAATACGTATTTTAAGTCGTATAGATTAATAACTGTTAATATCAGGTCAATAATTATTATACTAACGATTAAGTTATGAAGCTTCGCAAAATAACAGTTAGTAGTTATTGTTTTTTCATTACAGATAGACATGTTGCCTAGAACTCGCAAGATTCTAGACCGTTGTAATGCACAGTTGCCTCTGACCTTACCACCATCAATTACGCCTCCAATTACTACACCATTTGAACAACCCATATCTTCACGAAATGAGGAGTGTGACATTACACTAAATACACCTACACCTACTGAGTTATCAAAAACACTTTCAAACGTTGAACCATGTTCAACACAAACATTTCCATTGACACAAAAAGACGCTTCCTTGAATTCAGCAGATTCAAGTTCTAATTCGAGTGAATTTTCAGAATATTATACAAGTAGTAGTTACCAACCATCCGAAGAAGCAGTATCTCCTTGTTCTTCTCCAGTTGAGCTGCTAACTGACGCAGATGATGTAACATACACCCAAGAAGTTTTCCATGGAGACTTGAGAGAAGGAAATTCACGTAAAAGAAAAGGAGACAAAGGGCAATGGAAAAAAAATTATAACAAACTACTTAGGATGCAAGGCAAAAAATACTTGGGTTACACAAATCCAAAACATGAAAGAATGAAACAAAATAAAATGCGACCGGAAAGAATATTGGGAGTAAGGTGTGAATCAAACTTCTGCAAAAGAAGCAAGAAAAGGGTATGTGAACAGATAAGTGACGAAGACAGAAAAAATCTATTTCACCATTTTTGGTCCGACCTAACATGGGACCAGAGAAAAATTTTTGTATCTACTAACGTCCATACAACAAGTACAAAACGAAATACTACAGAAAATACGTCTAGACGCAGTAATACTCTCCAATTTTCACTACCAGGAAATGATGAGCATGGGAACACACTTCGACGGCCTGTATGTCGAATCATGTTCCTCAACACCCTTTGTTTGGGTTCATTTACGGTTCAATCATGGGTTAAAAAAGGTCGTTACGGTATGCATCCATCACAAAACAATGCCAACTTGAATAGAAAAAAAACTAGTAGGGTTGATGTTGAGATGCAGACTAGACATCTCGATAACTTTTTGGATGCATTACCTAAAATGCCATCCCACTATAATCGAAAAAATACTAATAAACTTTTCCTAGAACCACTTTACAAATCGCAATCCAATCTATATAATATCTATAAAGAATACTGTTCATCAAAAAATACCTCCGCATTCTCGATGAAAAAGTTTAATGAAGTATTTCATAGCAAGAATTTGTCCATTCACCAGTTAAAAAAGGACATGTGTGACACCTGTGTAGCACACTCCGTTGGTAATTTAAGTGAAGAACTTTACCAGCAACACATAAAAAATAAGGACAAAGCTAGAAATGAAAAAATGTGTGACAAAGAAAGGGCAGTAAGAAATGAATGCATTTTATTGACCGCTGATGTACAAGCAGTTAAAGTTAGTCCCTGTATAACTGCCAGTGCGATCTATTTTAAAACCAAATTGGCATGCCATAATTTCACAGTATACGACACGACTACCCATCACGCCACCTGCTACTGGTTTTCCGAAATCGACAGTGATGTTACAGCTTCCACTTTTGCCTCATTATTAATAGATTACCTGGAAAGACACTGTTTATCTAAGCGCTTACCAATTATTCTTTTTACAGACGGATGCACAAGCCAAAATCGAAATGCAATTCTTGCCAATGCACTGTTAAATTTTTGTATGCATCATGGCGTTACCATAACTCAAAAGTTCCTCGAGGTTGGACATACGCAAATGGAGGGGGACGCGGTGCACAGTGCTATAGAACGTAAGTTGAAAAACAGAAATATTCATTTACCTAGCGATTACCTGGCAGTGACAAAAGAAGCTAGAACCCGTCCCTTTCCATATGAAGCTCTGATGATTCCACACAATTTTTTCAAAAATTACGCAGATGAGTCAACCTGGAGATACACAACTATACGACCTGGCCGTAAGGTTGGTGACCCGAGAGTAATAGACATTAAAGCAATTATGTACAAACCTACTGGGAGCATCCAAGTTAAACTCAACTTTGATGATGATTGGACAGACTTACCATTACGACCACGGCAAATACCAGTCATTACGGAATATAAACCTATGCACAACACACCAATACCTATAACGGCCACCAAATTTAAACACCTGCAGGAACTTAAAACGGTCATACCACCTGACTGTCATGGCTTCTATGATTCCTTGCCACATAAATAAGTAAACTTTAATCTTTTATTTTCGTTAGAATGAAATCTTTAGTTGTGAATATGCATTTTGAATAAAATTCCATTTACTACCAACTTCCTTGCAGTTTCAATTTTATACTACCAATTTCTCCTAAGTCAAATATGTAAACTTATATTACTTACAATCACATAGTAACTGTATTAAAATATGAAAAAAGCTATAGTATTTTACCTTATAGAAGCAGGGTTGTGTAATATAAAAAATAAAAAAAATAATTAGTTTTTTCTTCCTCCTGCACAATTTCTATTTATGTAGATAGGAGATATTGGCGGTAAGCGGTCGACATACCATCCCAATGTAATAACAGTTTAGTAACAAAATCAACTCATATTGAGTAAAACAAAGTAACAAATCGAACAGCTTCAACAAGTATACTACACAAGGTACCAAATATAAGGCAGTCATCAATTTGTTCATTATCAAATACGAGCATATCACCTATACCTATAAATCTCCAAGACAAAGAAATTACTAATACTCCTTGTTACGAATGTTTATTGTTTGTATACAATGTATTTAGTTAATTTTTAGTTCTGTCATTTTACCATCGAGCAAAAAGACAAAAGAGGCAATGTAAAGGTAATGGGGACAAAAATATTGTTAGACAGGAAGTGCTATTTTGAGAGACTAAATTAAACAAGGAAAGAGAGTCTTTCCTTGTTTAAGAAATCAAATTTAGTTGGGTTATGTTATTGTTTGTCCCAAGTGTCACATAAAATCTTATTTATATTGAAGTTTTTTAACAATTGTTTCACATTTTATACTGTTATCGTTAATATTTAATTAAAACTTTGTCATTATTGAAATAATATTATTGAAATCATAATAATTATCGTCAATATTGAAATCGTCATAATTATTGAAATTTGGCGCATTCGCATTTTCGGTTATGTCCGCCATCAGAGGCCACTTTTTTGGTCTCCTTTTCATAACGATTAGATTCCCTCTTTTGTCTTTTTGCTCAATGCATTTTACCCAAAATTTTCCCTTACTACTGTTCTGTAAACTATGTCAAATATAATATCAAACCGTTAGAAAACAAACTGTCACCGACTAGGGAAAAATTTAAATAATTTAATAAATTTTAATAATTTAGTAATTTTAGCAGACAGCAAGAGAACATTAAGTAATGGGAATTAATTAGTTTTTGTATATTGTTAATTTTATATATTGTAGAAATTTGAGTTGTTGTTTTGCAAATAAAAACAGTAAACTACAAATCCGTCAATTGTTGGCTATTCAATAAATATAAATTCCCAACACTCCTACTTATAGAAACACTTTCAATCAACCTCATTACATTTAGCGGCCATACCCCAGAATAATACACAATCAGAATGTCCACTCTCCATGGCAAATTAAGTACGCGCATCTCGTTCGCGCAGACGTTCCGCCATGTTTTAAAGGGAACCAATATTGTTTAATGAAAATTTATGTGGTGTGCATACAAAAATTAACCCGGTTTAATTGATTTACGGCAATCATAGACATATACAATTATTTTTACATTGCTAAATATAATAACATAAATATAAATATAATATAATTAAACATACATATAAACAATTACATAACCTTACAAATCATATGTCGATAAAACCCATTACACCAAATGTGATTCTCAATCCGAGTCTGTGTTCTGTGTTTCCTTCTAAAACCTGGCGATCGCGTGAAAAACTTCAAAGGCGGCATCTGAGAGTGGGCATTTTGATTGTTTATTATTCTGTGACAATAGCGTTTTCATAAACTTCGGAAGCAATATTCTCCAATCTATCAGCTCCTTTTCCTTAAGATACAACTGCAAAAAATTCTAATAAAACTCTAATATTCTAATAAAATTCTAATGAAAACATCACCACAATTTTCTGAAACAACCATTTCAACCAATCTTACAAATAAAACTTCAAGCTCCACTTCTGTCACTATCAATGAGTTTGCTCCAGTACTTCCTAATGTAATAAAGTCATAGCGTCTAAGCGAAAACTCTAATAGAAATTGCGAAAACGTAAGTTCTTCCATAAAACGCAGTATTAGTGAGATGTACGTGTACATGCCTCCTTCAGACTCAGCAATTTCATCAGAAAATATGTTTGCAAAACCCAAACCCTCTAAACCAAAAAAACCGCGCTGATCTAAAGTCCCATCTACACGGGAAACTATTGAAAATTTCATTGATAATCATACCCCACCATTCTTTTTAAATTACCAACAATTGTCCTTACTGATTAATAATGTCCAAGGCTCCCCCGACACTATTAGCGTCGTTAAATAATTTACAACTGATATGGCAGGTTTACTTCATCTTTTACAAAGCAGCTATCAATATGCAAATGATAGATCTACAAAAAGCAAGTTTACAAAACTTCAAAACCAACTACACAACCATTTAGGGAAAGAGATTTCTGACTTAGATAGAGACTCTTCTGTAAACAATTGTTTAGTATTATCTAACTCTGAATCTGTTAACAACATTCAACTCGATACTTCCATGGAATATTGATGGATGTTTTCATCGTTTTCCTATTCACAAAAGTACTGATCATATCAGATTCCCTCAACTCTCTAATCTCATTAAAACACAATTTTTCGAAATATCCTTTTGAAAAGTTGCTAAAATACCAGCTTTCTTAAGCTCATAAATATAAAAGAAGCGTCTAATTTTTATGGGTTCCCTCACACGTCGGAATAACAGTAAACGAAGAAGCTGACAGGGCTGCACGAGAGGCAATTTTAAGTGATTTGTCGGAGTCGATAGACAAGTGTGTTTCCAGTGACTTAAAATCCTATTTTAAAAATAAAATATTGTGTTTTTAGCGAAATGAGTGGTCTCAAACTAATTCCAATCTAAATAAAATTAAAAATAATGTGTCTCAGTGGTTTCAATCGTCGCGCAATAGACGAGAAAAAATTGCGCTTGCTCGTTTACGTCTAGGACATGCCAGATTAACGCACTCCTACCTTTTCACAAAGAAAAATCTACCTATATGTGATGAGTGTAACATCCGATTAACAGTCGAACACTTTTTAACAATTTGTGGTAAATATGACCAAGAAGTTCCTGTGACAATATAGTAAATTATCTCAGATTCATAAACATTTTGTACAATTTGTAGGTGTTTAACTTTTTACTTATATTTTGTTCCGTCGCTAATAACCTTTTTGGTGGATGCGACATATTTTTCTAGTAAAAAAAATATTCCACGCTTATGTTTTCGCTCTAAGGACGCCAAGAAATATGCATATCAGCGAAGGTAGTACGCTGTAACTAAATTGAACCTTAACTGTTTATTTTATTTCTATTTTGCATTTTACTCCAGTCTGGGGTACTAGGAAATCGTTTTAACAAAGAGATGTCTGTCTAGACGAATTGGTATGACATGGATATAAATCCCATATTCCCTGCATTTCGGTACCTTCATCGCGCGTCGTCTCTTTTGTTTTGCAACATTAAAAAAACAGAAATTTGGTATAAATCATGAATTTGATTTTCGATTTATATTCGTTAGTATATGTTGCTTTATTGTCTATTGGTAAATATTTTAAATAATTACTTTTAAGAATGGAAAAAAGCTTTATTTCGTTGGAATTTACCAAAGTTCAATTTGAGGACACTAAGAGGCAAATATATGCATATTAGTGGATGGTGATAAGCTGTAACGAAATCAAACAACTGTGTCTTTTATTTTTATTTTACAGTTAATTCTAGTATACAGTATTTATATGCTTTCAAAATGCTACGACCAACAGAAAGATATATTTATATGCTTCATAGACTTCGAAAAAGCATTTGATAGAGTAAGACATGATATACTATTAGAACGTTTGCAAGAAGTCGGTTTAGATGGAGAAGACATCAAATTCTTAAAAAACTTGTACTGGAACCAAAACGCAAGAGTTAGGATCGAACGTTACATATCCGAAGAAGTAGAAATTAGGAGGGGAGTTAGATAAGGATGTGTTCTGTCGCCTCTGCTGTTTACTCCGAGTTTCTATTTAAAAAAGCAATGGAGGATTCCAAGGATGGAGTCAAAGTAAGTGACGTAAATATCAACAGTATCAGATACGCCGATGATATAGTATTAATTGCGGATTCCGACTTAGGTCTACAACGACTCATCGACAAGACCAACTCGACCTGTGATCAATTTGGTATAAAAATAAACATTAAGAAAACCAAAGTGATGTCAATCCGAAAAAACCAAAACATACCTCAACCTTTCACAATAAATGGTCACATTTTAGAACAGGTCAATAAATTTAAGTACCTGAGATGTTGGATCGATAGCAGCCTAAATCCTGATCTAGAAATAAGATCGAGAATAGAACAGGCCAGAAAATCTTTTGAAAAAATAAAAAAAACTGCTTTGTGATTCTCGAATCAAACTCGAAATTCGACAACGGTTGTCAAAATGCTACATCTGGTCGACTCTTCTATATGCAATTGAAACGTGGACCCTTACAACATCAAGCGTAAATAAATTGGAGGCCTTTGAAATATGGATCTACCGGAGAATACTCAAAATTTCATGGACATTGCATTCCTATGAAGAAGTGGTGCATAGAATAGGCAAGGAAAGAGAACTTTTTAACACAGTAAAAGTTAGAAAAACATCATACCTAGGCCACATACTGAGATATAATAAGTACCAATATGCCCAACTTATAGTGAAAGGAAAAATCGAGGGAAAGAGAGGCCTAGGAAGGAAAAGACTATCGTGGCTCAGAAACATCCGACAATGAACAGGGCTAAATTTTGAACAGCTAATAAGAACAGCTGAAGATAGAGAAGAGTTTAAAATTGTAGTAGCCAACCTCCATTGAGGAGAGGGCACTTTAAGAAGAAGAAGATAGAGTATTTGGAAATTGTTTTTATGAAGGGTTTTCTGCATAGACAAATTGGTATGACGTGCATACAAACTCTAAATCCCTATTATGCCAGTACGTTTCAGTGCATTCGTTGTCTGTTTTGT